CATTACCTTTTCGTGAGAGGTTCCTGTGATAGAAGTTTGTTTGATCAGCGATTGACCTCATGGAGTTTTTATTGGGCCTACCATATAAAAGCTCTACCGTAATTTATCAGGGGTAGAGAGCCTGTCATGGTTGTCATCGAATGTTTTCAGATCTGACTGTACACAGACCTTCCGAGAAGCTCTACTATGAGATCGTTAGATAGGACATAGTACAGATTCCATGGATCAAACCAATTTGACACCTCACCTTGGTAGAGATTTTGCTGCCCCGGTGGACAGATTGGAAGTCTAGCAGAATAGAGGAATATACGGTGTTAGTGTAAGCTTTAACTAGGGAAGGGTGGTACTCACGTATGATTCCTCGTATATCAGTCCTAGAGAAAGAGTGTTATCAGTGATAGATAGATAGTCTTGAGCTGATGACTGGGTACACTCACAAGTAGTAGACAAAAGGAGATGATCAAAGTCAATCTTCGCAAATGAGATGTGCGAGGAGACATGCAAGAGGAAAGTCAAGCAAGACGGGTGGGAGCATATTTATACCTCCCAGGGCGGAGTGCCTCGTCTTTCGCTTAGTTCTGCAGCGCTCCAGTCAGGACCCAATAGTGGCAAACTATGAGGCTTGCTGGTTCTTTGCGCTTAAGAGGGGAAATGGCATACCAGCTAGCAGTTTTCTGCGCTTAAAAGCATGGTTACTCACCAGCGGTGAGCCAACAGGAGTAGCAATAATGGATCGATTGACAAATTGTTGGTAAGGATACAAGATTCAAGTAGAGTGCGGCCAGAATGCCACCAAGAAAGTGAAGGAGTGGCTAATTGAGAGATCGGAGTTTATTCACCAGCGAATTCAGTTGAATCAACAGCGATGAGCAAACATGAGGCGTCCCAAGAATATGCGGAATGACAAATAGTTATTATGGAGAACCGTTGAAGTAGAGGTCACTCGAATTAGGGATGGCCAAATGGGGTCGTAAACCTTATTCACTAGCGAAATCAGTTGACTAAAAGGCGATGAGCAAACAGAAGTGCTATCAACAATATATGGAATGACAGATACTTGTTGAAAAGAGAAAATTGAGGCGAGTACCATGAGGCCTTCATTTTAAGTCCTGACCTGACTACTCTCCTGACTTTTCTCTCGCCCATTAACTAGCGGAAAAATAAATACCTACAAACAAAATGCATTTGCTCGCCCCGCTTCTACCACCTTTGTATGGACGGGCGAGGTGTGAACACAACACAACACACGCCCTGGAGGGAACGTGAAAGTTATCCTTCATCCTCAAGCATAATGTGAATCGTGGGCAGCCCAAATTGGCAAGACCACAACAATGCATGGTCATTAAGTTGAGCCAACACGGGTACCTTGGATCCACACCAGTGCGGCCTGTGGGTCGAGGTGGGGCCACCATATCCACTCTGGTGCCTCAACGTTGAGTTAACGACAGTGAATGATCAGCGAGGAAAGCCAGAAGAACCCAAGAGAATGTTGATAAATGCGAGATTACTCAATTTTCTGCGACTCCCGAAAACTGTCCGCGGCGTCCTTGGAGTCGCTTTCCATTACATTTCGGCCGTTCCAGCACAAAGCACCGCTCCTCAAGTAGCGGGTGCCGGGCATACACTACTCTACGAAAGACACAAAAGTGCGTCCCGCCAAAAGTTGAGAATTGGAGACAGTTATTCACTAAGTGGATATGCCATGGCTTTTTGATAGTAGTGCCATAATCAGAGTATATTGACAATCACCAAGAACTTAGAGCTCTCTGCAGCCTCTCCGCTGCCAATCTTGGTCACATAATATCAGCCCTTAAGTAGAATATGTGGACACGTGGGACTCTGCACAAGTCCAGTCAGGGATGTATGGAAGGAATACCCGTGAATAGCGATCATGTAGGCGTTCTTTCTCTGAATGTGCAGCAAAGACAAAACCTGCCAAGCCGTGTACCTCAGTACTTCACAATAAGCCGCCAGAACTTGGGCATGGTCAAGCGGAGGTGACATGGAAGCCGCACGCAATTCGACGGGCCTTTTCAAAGTAGACCAATGACCTGACCACAGTCCTCCACCATGGCACTTTCGCACGCGCAGCATAATGCTGAGGACCTTTATTCTGACTCACTTCCCTGAGCTCACCGTACCACTACTGTGAACCATGGGCGAGCCAGCTCTTTGCCCTCCGATTGCAACTGCGCCAATTTTGTGATTCGACCAGCACTTTCTGTGAGTCAGGAATACTACACACCCAGATGGAATGAACGGTCGTGGTGCTGTCTGCCGCGACATGATTGGCGATCCATTCAACAGCATCGTCCAGCTCATGGTTCAAGACCGGTGAAGACATTGCATCGACCGCCAGAACCGTCCTCGGTGAGAAACCTGCACTGCTGGTATTTGCGAGAAAGCATAGCTGAAGTCCATAAAAGCAGGCTCCTCCCCGATGCATTTCTCTTTCTTCACACGTCGCGGCCGCGGTGTGTCGCCTCTGACCTTCGGGCCTGAGGTTTCCGTGACGACGGCTGTTGCTGATCCAAGCCCAGTGACATAAGAACGGTGCTTCGCAGGGGGGCGCTGCGTTACCAAGTGAACTCCGCAGGGGGACGCTGTGATGACAATTGAGACCCGCAGGAGACCGCTGCGTCAACAAGTTCTCTGCAGGAGACCGCTGCATTACCAAGTTCTCCGCAAGGAAAAATGCGTTACCAAGAGGATCCGTAGGGACATCTGCGACACCAAGAGCCTCCGCAGGAGACAGCTGCGAAATCAAGCGCCTCCGCAGGGACATCTGCGAAATCAAGGCCCCTAGCAATGTGCAAGCACCTCTGCGTGGTGCTAGGGACCAGTATTCATCTCCCCTGGGGACTGCAACTCCCATGGGGACTGAAGAAGCCAAGACTTGCACAGTAGATAGACTAAAGCATGAGCCATAGCAGCCCACTGGGAAATGCAATCATCACATTATCAGTTCAGTCGATTCAAAGCTCTCTCGTAGGCTATACCTAGTGTCGTATTTAGTGAAATCGCTTTACGCAATAGGTTCCTCGACATGCCCACTGATGAGCCAATTCAAAGCGGTCGTCTCGAACTGCACGAGACATATGTTAAAAGTAGGCAGTTTGTCTGAATGATTCCCTCATTCGCGAACCCAATGCCAGGACCCCGTCCAGGCAGGATTCGTGATGCTGACCAAGTAGTGACCTGAGCCGTCAAAGATCGTCCGGCCTTGAAAAGTGGGAAATGGTGCTGAGAGCGACTTTGAGCTGATGCGATTCTTGATGGGAGTGATTTTTGATGGGTGAGTGTTGACGGGTAAGTGCTGACGTTGACTCGTCGGGCTACAAACATGCGGTGAAGCGGTGAACGGCAATCATTACTCAGGTTCACACTGGCTGATCTGCCCTTGACCCACTTCGCGCGTTCACTCGCCATTGTCCCATGAGCCGCCTCATGTATACGTCCTCTCCAAGAATTCTCGTTGATCCAAGTTTGCTCCTTCATGATTCCTTCTATAAAGTACTTTTACAGAATTCACATGTACCCATCTGTCGGACTGGAGCGAACGCGTATGCCCTAGTACAATTCGATCCAATCATGCTGCTCACAGATCTTGGCCCTTGTAAGACAATCAAGCTCTGGGCCTCGCTTCCCACGTATAGGAGGCATAATATTTGAGATAATATAGGAAGAAAAAGTAGGAAACCGCGTCTATATTACTGTATAATACTGTATATGCTAGCGTGTTTGGTCGCGCGTGAGATCTGAATATACTAATATAGTAGGCGGTCTGGAGGAGCGGTGTGTGCCCCAAAGTACCCAAGGTCAAATACTTATGGAACACCACTGTATATATATCACATGATTTTATTGGACTCTTAAGGCATAAATTAGGCATTAAATCTATATCGCGCGATATCGCGATATCGTATCGCTAATATTCTAGCCTTCGCGATACGATAACGATACGATATTACTAATCGTTTTCTCATCGCGATGATCGCGATATCGTGCCCACCTCTAGACAATCCATGGTATAAGACAAAGCTTGATACAAGACAAAGAGTGTCATAAGACAGATAGTGTCTTGAGACAAGCCTTGCTATGTGTAGTGTAGCTACATAGAGGAGGTTCGGGACGGGCATGTTTGCATAATTTGGACGGGTTGACCCACTCCCGGATACAGACCAATAACGATTGGTCTGGAGAGTGGGCAGATGCCTATATGTACGTAGCATAGCTTCCCTCTCTTCTTCCCTCTCCTCTACAGATAAACCGGCGCATGGGGTTATTGAGTAGGAAGCTATTGTATAACTCCAGCTATTGAATTGGGAGTGATATTATATTGCCCAGCCCGAGCTTACTGACTACAATCCCCTTTTCACTTTGGAATAGGATAAACAGCGCGCCAAACTCCCTTCAGCTAGTCCAAGTCCCCACTATCTTTTCTTTGATGTATTTCTGGTTAGTCACCAAATTTACCGTAACTACGGTTTCCGGCAAGATCCCGGCCATACTTGCCGAACAGTCGAAAACAGGTTGTCCAGACAATCAGCTTTATATCTCTATACTCTCTTATACCTTCGCGGGGAGCTATACCCGCGTTTGGTAAAAGGCTTTATTGACTCCTCACGCAGACCCTTAGATGCCTGGCCCACTTAGCCGAGAAGGGCGATGTTCCGAAGACCCAAGGAGACATTCCAGACGAAATCCAAGCTCTACGTGCGGGGGCAGCAGAGGCAGAAAGAAGGAATATGGAGAAAGCAACATTCAGGATCGCTGTACCCTCCCATTGATCACTATTTCCGGAACCTACCAAGTGTGCAGCATGAAGCTTTCGGGTCGCTTTGAAATATGAATATTCTAACAGGATTCAACGCCGGGATTATTCTGTAGGCAAGCCAGTAATTTCCCAGGGTATCGTGAAGAACCGTACCAATGCCACGGGCTGTCCTTCGAACTCATTCTCCGCTTTAGACAATCGAGTCATGGGTTGTCATCCATATTTAATGTTCGTTGCCCCCGAGGATGAGTTTAGTGATCATACCAATCGCAATGGTCTGGCCCTATATCGTGTTAGTACTATTTTTGAACCTCTTAGCTTCAATATACTGGACATACTTGATCGCGCAGGGTAAATCTTCCCATCGATTCTAGCGTTGTGTACTCTTCCACGCACACAGCTCCAGCAGCGCTAGTGACCTCAAGGCGGGCAATTATTGTCTGACCCTTGTTGACGAACGACGGCGGACGCTTGCTTTTGCGGCCGGTTCCTGACTCCAGCTTGTGGAGAAGTTGAGCAAAAGTTACCTCCTCGACAGCAGAATGAACGTGCATCACACAATTGAAACCGGCAGTGAGAATGTTCTTTAAATCCAAGATACGAATCTTGGCCTCGAAGGTATGCACACAGTGAACAGGACGCTTCGGCGAGCAAAGCACAAAGCCTGGGAGTAGATCTTCCTCTTCGACACCACGCAGACGGAGACGAACCTGGTCACCGGCACTGGCAGTCGATATTTCGTTTTCTGTCTCGCCGTAGAGAGCGGATATCAAAACTTCGGTTTTGTTAGGCATCAACAAGTAGCTGCTGTTCTTTTTTATGACACCAGATTCAACCCGGCCTTCACACATTGTGCCCATGTCTCGGTACTTAGAAGTGACCGGCATCATGAACGGAGAATTAATTTTACGCTCAGGGAGCTCAAAGTCCGTCAAATATTCTAGTAGGGAAGGACCATTATACCAGTGACAGACGTCCTTTGGAATGCGTTCTTTGATACCCAGCGTACGCTGGGCTGAAACGGGCATACAGAGAATATCCTTTTTCTTGTAGCCAAGAGCTTCCAAGAACTTAATAACCTTAGCAGTGCACTGGTCGAAACGCGCTTTGCACCAGTCGACAGTGGGGTCATCCATCTTGTTGACGACAATGACCAATTTTTGCACACCGCTGTTACAGGCAAGAAGGGCGTGTTCACGTGTTTGGCCACCCTTTTCGAATCCGGTCTCGTACTCACCCTTGCGGGCAGAAATGACGAGGCAGGCAAGGTCTGCCTGAGAAGCACCACCAATCATATGGGGAACATAAGACTAATGTCCAGGAGCGTCTAGAATGGAAAAACGTCGCTCAATAGTGCCCTCGGGGTGAGGAACCTGGACACTGAAATGCGCTCTTCCTACTTCCTTCAAGGACAATCAGCTTTCTTACCGAAATGGTCGCCCTTATGTAGAGTATGTCCAGCCACGACTGGACTTTTTAGGCAGATAGGGAGTGCTTACCACAGTCTTACCCTTGGTTCGCTCCTCTTCCGTCAGATCTAGAACCCAAGACATATACCAGGATTGGCATCCAGCCTCCTTCGCTTCTCTCTTAACTTTCTCCATCGTACGGTCATCCACCATGCCGGTGCAATATAGCAGAGATCCACCCAGGGTAGACTTTCCAGCATCAACATGACCAATGAAGACAACGTTAACGTGCTCACGCTTCTCTCCGTATATCTCTTTCAGGGTGGCATCATCGACGTCGGCCTGCTGTGCTTTGGCGACAGCATCGGCAGCACGAGCAGCCTTGGCAGCTTCGATATTGCCGCGAGCTAAGATAGAGCGACCGGGCAATTTGACCGAAGACTTGCCAGAAGCACTGGCTATAGAACCTCTACTCTTATCCAGGGGTTTAGCAGTAGTTGTTTTAGCAACGGAACCAGAATCGGTAGCGTCCGTGGTATCGCCGTTACTGAGGTCATTCAGACCTTGGTTCATATTCACATTTTCCGTTTGTTGGGAGAGTTCCTCTTCCCAGGAGTTTGGTGTTTTGTTTGGCATCGTGCAGCGAAAACTTAGGCACAATCGACGAACCGGCGCTGGCGACACGAAACTTGGGTGTACAATCTAATTGGTGAAGCAAGTTTTCTAATTTGCGCAAGTCCGGGTTGCGTCAGCCCCGCGACAATGATGTCACGTGAGTGGATTGTTTTACACGGCATAGATACAGTGGCGGGTCAAATGTCTCCGACCACCCCTACTGACCGCCCACAATGCCGCCTTCCTATTATAGCATAGCGTATCTACGCGTGGGCGCGTAGAATAATCTGTTGTTAATCAAAGGAAGGTTGATTGTTATATTTTGAGAGGGGAACATAGACTATATATACATCAAGAAGAACAAGTTGATGAATAAATCCCGATGTATCTATACGAAGAATCAAGTTGATTGGAAATCAACTTGTTCTTCTTGATGTATATATAGTCCTATGTTTCCTTCTCAAATATAACAATCAATCTTTCTTTGGATTACTGTTGTGATATAAGGCTGGTGCAGATCAGGAACCAAGCCGTCCCATCGGAATTAATGCCGAAATATCTATATACAGAATCAAGTTGATTTCCAATCAACTTGTTCTTCTCGTTGTATATATAGCCTCATATTTCCCTCTAGATGACAATAACAATCAATCTTCCTTTGATTAACAACAGGTTATGAGCCCGGGAGCAATCTCTCGGGTGCCGTCTCTACTCATCTGAGAAACATCTTATCTATCCATCTTGATTATATATCTACCCCGCTTTCAACTCATCAACTTATCATCATGTCGGCTCTGGTCCATGACTCCCCAGACCGAGCCGTCACGGCCATCGAGCCTCTGACAGGAAGCGACAACTTCGCTACCTGGAAACGTCTCATGACCTCCTACCTCAAAGCGAGACAGGTCTGGGACGTGGTGTCGGGCGACCTCCAGCGTCCTGACTGCCTGTTCAAGTACGCCAAACCTATTACGGCGGACATCCACCCCTTGGTGGAGCCCCACCTCAGCGGGGCGGTGAGGCAGCGCGCCATCGACGCGCGCCTCGAAGTGGAGGTCCAGGCGTTCGAGCGCCACCGTGAATGGTCGCGCCGCGAAGCCGAGGCCTACCATACTATCTTCCGTTACTTGTCCCCCCACATCAGCATTCATGTCGCGGGACTCGAAACATCTCGCGACCTCTGGAATGAACTTGAAGAACGGTATCGGCGGATGGAACTCGCCACGTTCTGCGAGCTGTTCGCCCAGTTGCGTGAGACCACAGGCGAGCGCTGTGGCAGTGCACGCGAGTTTGTCGATCGTGTACGGATGTTAGTACACCGGTTGAATGCTATCGTCCCCGGATCAATCGGCGACCGGACGCACATTGCGATTCTGTTGACTCAGATCGGACCAGAATACATCTTGATTGTAGATGCGATCCAAAATGACAAAGATCCAGTCAACCCGACCACGATCGGAAACCGTCTGGCAAATGCAGAACAGACGGTGCAGCGGAAGGACGCCGCAACGCTCCCGCATGGAGCGTCTGGCGCATCGAATAGCCCTTCAATCAATACCGTGCAGAAGAATACCAAAAAGTGTAACTACTGCAAGAAGCGCGGCCATGTGGTCGCGCAGTGCTGGAAGAAACAGCGAGAAGAACAGCCGTCCAGGGACCATGCCCTGAAGGCCGAACGGAGTGTTTCCGGCTCACCAAGAAGCAATTTGCGAAGTATACCATCAAGCCAGGTGGAAGAACGGCAGGGCCCGCCGACTTCCAAGAGACCGCGGATCAATGTTGTGAGGGCGAGGGTGACGACTCTCTATACCCACGCACCGTCACCCCGGTGGATCCTGGACTCGGCTGCCACCAGCCACATCTGCTGGGACCGGAGCTGCTTCAGCAGTCTGCGGCCCCATCGCGAGATGTTGGACACGGCGGGCGATCCAGTGGAAGCCGAAGGGATTGGGACGGTGAAGCTCACGCTCCGGGGGAAGTTCAACCAACCCCTGGTGCTCAAGAACGTATACTTCGCGCCACGCGTCGGGATGAACCTGATCAGTGTGCCGAAGTTGCTAAGAGACCGCTACTCGGTGGTAGCGCACCCGCAGAACGTCTTTGTGCAACGCCGAGGACGAACGGTGGGGACCGCCTACCATGCGGAGGAGGATCTGTTGATCCTGCGGTGCCATGTGAGCAAGAGATCTCGAGAACGAGTCCAACTGGCGAGGGCGCCGACGACCTATGGCCATGCAGATTCCCTGGAACCGCAGGCGGTGGCCATGGACGTCGACAGCCGTGAAGAGTCAAGTGGCGTAGGATGCGCATCGCCAACCTCTGAACTCGGTGGTGAAGCTGTGATACTCGAAGCAGATGCGGGCAAAGGAGTGGACCAGGCCTCCGAAGCGCTATGGCACGCTCGGATGGGACATCTGAACCGGGGCGACTTGAGGGTGGTCCTCCGGCAGACCGGCACTCCGTACCGACCGCTGACGCAGGCGCAACTGCAGGCAACGCCGCGTTGCCCGGCGTGCATGTCGGGTAAGCAGCATCAGAAGAGGAACTCCCGTGCAAGGCGGCCACGTCTGCATTCAACGAGAATTTTTGAATTGATCCACTCGGACATCATGGAGATGCCGATTGCCAAAGATGGCAGCAGGTACGTGATCACCTTTACTGACGATTATTCTCGGGGCTCATGGGCCTATGCCATGAGATGGAAACATGAAGCGCTGCAGAAGTTCCGACAGTTTGAGGCCTGGGTGCACCGACAATTTGGGGCCCAGATTAGAAGATTTCTTACCGACAATGGAAGAGAATATCTGCCGGTCGGAACACACCTCGAACGCCAGGGAGTTGAGTTTGACACCTCGCCGCCATACTGCAAAGGGCAGAATGGGCTGGCCGAACGAACGAACCGCACTATCCGGGAGCGGATCAACACGCTCCTGTCCGATGCAAACCTTCCTCCTTCCTGGTGGGTCGAACTTATAGATACGGTAGTCTATCTGAAGCTGCGCGCGCCAGCATCAATTCTGCGAAAAAGGACACCGTATGAAGTGATTTATGGGAAGCCGCCCTCGCTCTTGCATCTACGCCGGATCGGCTCTCGTGCCTGGGTGTTGATCCCAAAAGAGCATCGAGCCAAACTCGGACCGAGGTCGTCCGAGTGCCGACTGCTAGGTTATTGTGAACCCAACCAGTACAAGCTGTACGAAATCCACTCAGGAAAGACAATATTCTCCCGTGATGTCGAGTTCGATGAGAGGACCCCCGTGGCGCCACTCATCGAGGGGGAAACAGGCAACGACCTCCCGGACAACGCTCCTCCATCATCTGTCTTTCCACCAATGCCAAGTTCAGCCAGCGAGCTGCCAACACCTCCTGCGTCGCCATTACCTCGGTCGAATGAACGAGAGAAGCCGCCATCTGAGCGCGAGGATGAGACACCTCCAGTGATCAATCCAAGCCAACAGGAAACCGACTTGACATCGGATCTTGGGTATTCGATGTATGGTCGCAGACGAAGACCATCACGGCGTCTCCTGGAATCGCTGGGGAAGGTGTACTCGGCAGGCGCATTGAATACTGCACCGGCCAGACAAGCCGACCCGGCAACCTTCCGCGAAGCTGTGTCAGGCCCAGACCAGCTAATCTGGTGGGCCGCCATCCAGAAAGAATATGCGTCGCTTCTCGAACACGGAACATGGGAAAAGGTTCGGCGGGAGGACATCCCCGCTGGGGATCATGTGATTGGGTGCAAATGGGTCTTCAAGACCAAAACCAACGGAACGCGCAAAGCGCGACTGGTCATCAAAGGCTACCGGCAGAAACATGGCATCGATTATCACGAAACGTTTGCGGCTGTGTCGCGCATGGACTCGGTCCGCTGCATCGTCGCCAGCGCCGTGTTGCGCGGATGGAAACTCCACCAATTCGATGCGGTTACCGCATTTCTCCATGGAGACGTCGATTCGTCTATCTATATGGAGTTGCCCGAAGGCTTTGAAGAACCAGGGTACGTGTGTCGGCTGCGCCGTTCACTGTATGGGCTGAAGCAGGCCCCGCGGATTTGGTACCAATGCGTCCACCGCGTCCTGGCTTCTCAGGGCTTCACTATGGCCCAATCGGACAACTGTGTTTTCTGGAAAGCGGACTGCGTCGTTTGCGTTTATGTCGATGACTTTCTAGTTGCTGCGGCAAATACGCACGAAATTGAACAAGTACAACGAGCCTTACAAACCGAGTTCCGATTGAACGATCTGGGCATCCCTCGTTCGTTCCTCGGGATCGAGTTTGACTATCACGTTGATGGGTCCGTGTCTATTCACCAACATCAGTACATCCAGAAGGTGCTCTCCGACTTTGGCATGGAGAGTTGTCAGCCGAAGTCTACGCCGATGAATCCTAAGCAAAGCCTGAATACTCGCCCAGAGGAGGAACCTCCGGATGAAGAAGCAAAAGCTCGCTATGCAACTGCTATCGGCTCGCTCATGTATTTGATGGTTGGCACGCGACCGGATATTGCGTTTGCGCTCGGAATGTTGAGTCGCTTCACATCCCGGCCGCAATCGCATCACCAGGCCGCACTTCAGCGACTGCTTCGCTACATCAAAGCCACGCAATCTCACCGTATCACCTACCGAAATGGTCAATTGATCGGATACACTGACGCCGACTTCGGTGGCTCCGTCGTCACGGATGGAGCATACTCCACGTCTGGCTACGTGTTCCAACTGGCGGGAGCGCCGGTTTCCTGGTCGTCCAAACGTCAGGGGGAAGTGGCCACGTCCACGACTCATGCCGAATACATTGGCCAATACAATGCCATTTTACATCTACAGTGGCTCCGCACCTTTCTAGGAGAAACAAATCTGTATCGGTCTCCGGTCACTAATATCATGGCTGACAATCAATCCGCTATTGCGCTCTCCCGCAATCCCGAATTTCACAAACGGACCAAACACTTCAATGTCAAGTTCCATTATCAGCGGTCGGTGCTGAATGCAGGAGAAATTGACCTGCAGTATGTTCCCACTGAGGAGCAGGCCGCGGATGGTCTCACCAAGCCATTAGGGCCAACGTCCTTTGCCAAGTTCTGTAGTCTTTTGGGAATCGACGTATCCAAAACCTAAGGCAACAAGCATGACAGCGCAGGTGCTCTTTCCACTTTCTTTTCCCACGAAGGTTTTTTGAGTGGTTTTACCGAGGCCTGACTGCTCTGCTCAATTCCAGTATCGCCCTGCCAGCAGGACGATTCTGAGGGGGAATGTTGTGATATAAGGCTGGTGCAGATCAGGAACCAAGCCGTCCCATCGGAATTAATGCCGAAATATCTATATACAGAATCAAGTTGATTTCCAATCAACTTGTTCTTCTCGTTGTATATATAGCCTCATATTTCCCTCTGGATGACAATAACAATCAATCTTCCTTTGATTAACAACACCTCTTTGACGTGGCTGCGGAGTTGCTGGAGGCTCAGGCTCTATTCTGGGTGTTGGTATAGGGCCCCTAGGCACTGGAGGCCTTGGTAAAGCTCTGGTTCGAGGCATAATAGGGGGTGGTATATGGAAATAATAATAAAAAAGACGTAATGTGGATTATTCTACGCGCCCACGCGTAGATACGCTATACTATAATAGGAAGGCGGCATTGTGGGCGGTCAGTGGGGGTGGTCGGAGACATTTGACCCGCCACTGTACTTCGTATAGGAATTGAATACTGCATCATGGACTAAGTGTTGTACAAAACCGTCATTGGGTGCAAGGTTCAGAATCATTGATAATTCCACGGAATAGCTTACACAAGCACGCACACACGCCAGACCCTCGTCTTACCCCGATACAAATTGACTTTGACGATCAGCACTTTGACTCCCGCTATGGTATAGTGCGTACCGAAGGAAAGGAAAGTGACCCACTTCCTATGAAATACAAGAGTTACAGTGGCGTTTCAAAAGTACAAGACTCACAATTCTTGGCGCCCTACCTTATGTAATTCTGCCGTGTCTTCTGCCAGCTAGATTCTCCATTTTTTTGATACTGAAATAGCGGTGGCCGCCTTACCGCTCCCTCACCGCCATATTACTAAAGCTTGGCGGGACTTATACTTTTGCAGCCCCACAAACTGTTTGCGGTGATATCCGTACGAGCTAGTGATACGCATGACCAATAGAGAGAACCGAATATTGGTTGATTCCCCAATGAGTGGCTCTCCTGCTGACCTATTGAAAAGGGGCCCCGAAACTAGTTAAGGTACTGTGTGTCAAAAACATAAGCAATGGAGCCGAATGTTGAATCATAGTTTTCCGCGTAGAGTATCTCGGTATTGTCTTTAGATTGACACAATCTTTTGAGGCCACCAGTAAAACATCGATTGGAGAAAATCTTGTGAAATAGTTTAGTTTCATACAGTAGTGATTAGCATATCGTTCGCGAGGGGACAGTGTAAATGAAATTACTACTACTACTACTACTACTACTACTACTACTACTACCCTGTAGTGATTAAACTTTCATTGTCAGTTTCTAAATCACGACCTCTGGGTACAGATTCGTATTTTGAGGAAGTGGATGAACATTGATCACGATCTGCTGATAAAAATGTTGGACCTCCCGCTTTGATTCACTCAAAAACAAGGCGAAAAAACCTTAACCACGCCGAGTGAATCGACAGATTCTTTTTTTGCCGCTAGTGTTGAATGGCCAAGTTTAAGCTTTAATACCCACAAGCGATCGCTATGGCCAATCCTCCTTCGAAGTATTACCGACCCATAATAACCTTATTACATTACCAGCTTGATACCCCTATTCTTCAATTTACACGTACGGAAATATGAAATGGTGTAAAAGTGATTATTTATACGCCCCGTCCGACTCTCGGGCCTGAAACTTTGAAGATATTTTCCACGTACACTTATGAGTCAGCCAAATCTCAAAATATTGCAACTGCGCAACTCTCAACCACCAGCGATAGCCCACGTCGACCATGGATTCTCGAGCAGAATCAGCGCCATCAGAGGCGTACCTGACTGCATTTATCGGGTATCGCCTTACTGGTGTAGCAGTTGCTATGCTGCCTATTACCACTTTTTTTCTTGCATTGCGTTTCTACTCTCGTTTTTTGACTAGAACTCCCTGGGGCCTGGATGATACATTGGCTGCTGTTTCTGGAGTCATCTCAGTGGGCTTATCTGCTCTTGCGATTTGTTAGTCCTCCGGCGGATACACCCAGTTTTGACTACTGTACTGATACGTAATGTATGATTTAGGTTTCGTCAAATATGGCGGTGTTGGTTACCACCTCGAAGCATTGGCAATGGAAACACCTAGTAGAGAACCGAAATACTTTATCTGGCTGTTGATAGTGTCGACTTACTATTATTCCACGGTCGCCTTCTCTAAGCTGGCTGTCCTGGCACTATATGGTCGTCTCTGGACGGTGAACCCTTACCGGACTATCATCTTGGTAGTAGGAGTCGTGATTGCCCTCACTGCTGTTGTGTCCGGCATAATGTGTCTAAATATGTGCCAGCCATTCAGTTATAACTGGGATTTGACAATCTCCGAGGGGCATTGTTACAACAAACAGGCCTTTTTTTTATGGGCCTCTTTGCCAAACATTTTCACAGATATTATTATGCTCGTCATGCCAGTACCCATTGTCTGGAAGTTGAATGTCTCCATGAAAGTGAAATTAGGCCTCACATTGACCTTTGCAACTGGTATTATGTAAGTCAGATTCAATTACACCGCGTTTATCCTTCACATCTCCCTTTGAACCCAAGCTCACTGCCACGTTACTTTTCAGGGGTCTGGTCACATCGGTTATGCGATTCGTTATCTTCGCCAAAGGAAATGCCGTGCAGGATGGATCTTGGTCCTCTACAGACCTAATGGCCTGGAGTGTCGCCGAGCCCGATATATATCTAATCAGCGCCTGCCTCCCCACCTTACGACCAATCATGTGGAAATTATTTGGCAAAGACAAATCTACCACGAACTCCAACTCACGGTTCGGGGAGCGATATGGATATGGAGGTACAGGAAGATCAATGGGCAACTCAAAGATTCGCCATACAGCCAACGAGACGGGGCTATACGGAGAGGAAGTTCAACTTGTGTCGGTCATGGGCAAGGCCTCAAAGGAAAGTGATCACTTAAACGAAAACGCTATACATGTACAGCGGGAGGTGAATGTGGAAGTTAGCGAGCACTGAAAGGTAAAATTTAAGATATATTCAGGCCTTGTGGTAAATATAATGTTTAATGAAGATTGGGCGTCCGACCGACTCGCTTGAGGTTTTTGTGAGTTTCTACCTCAGTCATGCGGTGAAGCTGATCAACTAATCTAAGGGAGACAATTGATATGATTTTGATTGAATTTTGATAAGCAGTAGTTATGTTGCCTCACATTGCCAAATGTCGCCCCAAGTGATATATCTACACCGAAATTACTGTCTCTTTCCTACAAGTGCTCGACGAAAGGCAGTTGCTGGCTTCGCAGGGGGCTCGGCATGATGATGATGATGATGATTTTACTCGCCCGATGTAGCTCCCTTTAATTACATGCTGCTATGCCGGGGGTGCTATCAAGTATTATCAGGCCAGCTGACAGTTATAAATCAGGGTCTAGCCCGTTGAGTAACCTGCATCTGATTGGTCACCCGTGACTGTAGGTATGCAAACAAGACAAAGAAAACAAGGGAATACCTAGTCAACAAAGGAAATTGCACCTGAATGATCGTCTTCACCTCTGGTCCCACTCGCAACCACTACCCTTTCGCCCGTCTACCGCTTACGTGCTCGCTTCGATCAAGTGAATACAGTAGACCTAGCACTACACCCCTATCAGGCTCCATCCTTCTACTTTCGTCACACTGACTTGGGGGGCCATTCTGCCTCTTCTATTTCCTATCCGCCCATTCAAGAGGTCATTCTTGGCCATGCATTCACACGGGCTGCTGGCCTTGTCGGGATCTCAGGTTGAGAGCGATTCCGCGACGGGAATAGGATGCCTCTCATCATGTCTCGCTTGTCCTGGTACATTGGACACTCGAGGAGAACAGGTTACCCCGTCCGCAATCACACCTTGCGGACTCCGGTTTCAACCAAGGTATGCACCCAGGTCGACGCAGCCCGTGCGTATCTGTATCGGAATTTATGCTGTGGGGACCTGAGGGTTTCAGTACGTTGATCGGACACTCAAAATACCTTGCCAAATTCCTGATCTATGTCTCTCGTTATATAAACGGCTGACTACATCCTTTGCTTTGTCAAGTCGTGTCAAGCCTTAGGGTAGCCCAGTTCAAGGCCAGCAAGCGTTTCTGTACCACGCCAATATCGACGAGATGGATAGAACAGCCCAATATGGTACGTGCCAATTAGTCATCAGGACACGACCATGCTTACCAAATGATAGATGCTTCGACATTGATCTTCACACACTCTGGCGTGAGCTCTCTGGTATTCCGACACCGCCTCCCTGTCTCCCCACCAACTATGGTGATTTCAAGCCGGAGACATCGATTATAGACGGGGTCCCGGGGCCGGGATCTCAGCCTCAAGAAAGTCCCGCTACTGAATATCCAACGATGGAATGAGAATCCCCTTAAGACAGTAGGAAGGATTAGATATATAAGGAAATTCTCTGCGTACGTGTATTAAGTTCTTCGCGATTAATCACGCATTTTGACTTGAATCTCCTGTTGATCCAGTTCACTGTTCGATATAAAGCCAAACATCCTACAAGTAGGGGAACTCTTCGGACTGACCTTCTTGGCGCATTCGACCTACGCACCTTTGCAAGCATCCTAGAGAGCCGAGTGCATGTACATCGTCACAAGTAACGGTACGGTTGCGGACAAGCTTGAAGGCCCGAATATTTGAGGCAAGTATCCCCAAGAAAACCCGTCCTACCGCGCTCGGCCAATAGCGCGTAACACATCTCGGCAAGGATCTGCATCGCAAAAACAAAACAAGTCTGCTTATGCCATGCCATGACAATACCAAAATAGGCCAGAAATGAATACGTGCTTTTCTGGCCCAAGTAACCCTGCGTCTCTATCGTTGCTGGCAAGGGAAGATCCGGCTCCTGGCCAAGGGCCTCCCGTCACCACTCGATACCCGACATCCCTGTTCGATGAAACGGCGCGCCTTTTAATCTTTGTTTTCACGCAGTCTCGACCAGGAATATGAATGTCCTCGATTGGTCAGACCTTCCACCATGAAACGTGGAATATCGCCCGATCTACGCGACTCAGAGTGATGGTGAGGAGCGGCCGTCCAAAGTACCCCGGCGAGGTAGCTTGAGCACGAATCCAGAACCTTTGTAGAGGAAGCACGACCGTAGGAAATCATTATAGCCGCTTTCTCCCTCCTCGCCAGATCACCCTGGAAAAGTGAGTAGCGTGTCTGGGTTGACGACGTTCCAGTAGCTAACTGCATAGGAATCCAATCCTCCAGAACACCCAACTACGACGCCAATCTCGCTCACGTATACGCCCACCCCGCTTGAAGACCAAATATACCACTGGATACCTGCGCCATCAGCAGCCGGTACCGTTGTAGCGATGAGCGAACCGGTATCCAAACGATCACGATCGCGTTTGATCTCTGCCGACCAGGGGCGCGCTCGGTCTGTCTCCTCGGAAAACAGCGAAAGCGGTTCGGCTCGAGACACCCGGTTATACGCCTACCGAGCTGTGAACTATGTGACCATACTGGGGACCAAAGGTTGCTTCATGCAGCCGTCCCAAGCCGGCCCGATGCCCGACGACATCGCGCTCTGTGAGCGTCTTCTCCGTCAGCCGATCGCAACTCCACAGGGCACCCTGTTCGATGATGAGTATGTTGACAGATTCCATTATCCGCTGCGGAACCGGTCTGAAGCGCGTTTCCTGGTAGACCTGCATCCCCTGATCATGCCGTCCGCGGAAAATCAGTTTATCAGGGGCACGCAGGGCCTGAGAGACGTCATAGGTGGATACAATGATCCATGGCTGAAGACTGAACCGATCTATGGTCCAAAGCCGCAGCCTGACCATGCACGTGGATTGAAGTGGTCAGTGTTCACTGAGAGCCAGAGGCGCAAACTCGGCATCAGACCCGACGAAAAGTCGCCGTAGACGGCGCGCGAAGACATGTACTTCCCTTATTTGACCGCTGAGATCAAATGTGGAAACCATGCGCTGGAGCTCGCAGACCGGCAAAACATGCACAGCATGAGCATTGGGCTACGAGCCGTGGTCTCGCTGTGCCAAGCGGCTGGCTGTACAGAAGAGGTGCACCGGCGGATTCTCGGATTTTCGATCTCTCATGAGCTCGACGGCTTTCGCATATACGGCTACTATCCTGAATTCAAGGAAGACAAAGTGTTATTCTACCGGTGGCCAATTGCGCAACCCAACGTCTGGACTCCAGAGGACCGATGGACATGCTATCGATTCGTGGAAAATGTGGACCGTGAGTTCCTGCGCATTCATACCGATCGATTGATGCGCGTCCTTGGCAGAGTGCCTGATCCAGAAGACGATATCTCAGGAATCGACGTCGATGAAGTTGAGTCACAGCTGTCCATTATTGGATCGCAGGAAAGCCCAGGATATCGTAGAGCCGCATCCTCGCAGAGCCGTGGACTGCAACACGAGCTGCGAATGATGGTTCAAACACTGCAGCAACAGCTGGCAGAACAGAAGGTAAAGGAGGAGAAACGGGAAGCAGAGCAGAAGGCGCGGGAAGCAGAGCAGAAGGTACGGGAAGAGAGACTCCTTGCCCAGCTTGAAGAACAAAGGATACGACAAAAGCAACGAGAAGTAGATCAGAAGGAACGAGAAAAGAAACGGGAAGCAGAGCAGAAGGCGCGGGAAGAGAAACTTCTTGCTCAGTTGGAACTACAAGGGAGATTTCTCGCCCGCTTAGAGAAAGAGGACTTCAAATGAGCGTTCTACTTTCGGTTTATTTGAATCCTTTTGGAAGCGCTTTAGCTTGTATCTCCTCTGGTAGCTAGATGATCTCGGTCCTTGATATCAACACAGCTAGAGGGCATCATAAGCACTGTCCAACATGACGCTGCTCATGTTATGTAGCCTAATTGCCCTTGCGTCTACAAGCCAATGAAGTTGAACTGTGAGAGACCCGCGCAGATGTCCAGGCCACAGAGGACTGCACAATAGGTGTTGAGGGTGCGCTTAGGCTGGACGAAGAGGAGCCGTGGGTTTGGGCAAAAATCCGCGCAGTCGTAGTAGTCGACGTCCCATTGCGGTCAGTGTGCCCAGCAGAACTGTCGCTATCCCAATGCGCAGCAGATAGTTGACCAATGGAATCTGGAGCGCACAAACTGGGTCCATCGGTCCAACCCATAAGGCGATTGGCGACGTCAGAAACATAGCAGTGAGTGGCACCGCCCTGGCCCAGGTTGCCGCTAGAAGCTACCGCGCCGGAGTTGTAAGCACGCGCGGCCTTGTAATATGATGTCACATCTGCTGTGCCGCCTTCTTGAGCTATCAGTGCCTTGAGGCCAAGCCCGGCTGGGGTGCCTTCAACGCCGTCCAGGATCATCTGGAGTATCTCGCCCATGGGACAAGGGTTCTGAACCAGCCCATTATCGTTGCAGGACCCGGATCCCTCGTGACTTTGCATCAGTCCAGGATTAGCAACCCCATTATTCGTGGTCTGGACATGAACGCATCCTTTGCTCTCCTGCATGACGATCGACAAGATGAAGCGCGCGTCGACGCCGCTTGATTTCTCCGCTTGGTAGATAGCATCCTTGATGAACTGGGTTTCGTCTTCCGAGTTATTAGGGAGCCCCCATTCGGCACAGCTGACAGATATGGTCCCTTTGTTGTTCTCAAACATGGTTTCAAGAGAGTCAGCCCATTGATCGATACTTGGCCAGCCGTCGGCGATCTTGCCGTTACCACCTAGTACTGCGGCGTAAATATCAGTGCTGCGCTGAAGGAGGGGATGCTGCCGATGAGAGGTATCGACCGCTCCAGCGATCATCTGCGGGATTTGGACTGCGAAAAAGAGCGGCCAACGAGTCATTTCAGCCCAGAGCTGATTTTCCAACACGAGAGGACTATACTGGGCAGGAAACCGGAAACCTCGTTTGATGGGCGTTTGAAGTACTGAATATATTGAGAAGAGATAGAAGTTTTTTATGACCTTTAAAGAAAATCAGAAAATTTTGATTGACGTTCACTTGGATCGCAAGCGG